AGTAAACTAAACAGTCACAATGAACTACAAAGAAGGAAACAAAGTGAACCTGTTGGAAGTCTCAAGGTCACTATAAGTTCCCGAGGCATCTATAAGAGACCGCTCTCACCTACCCAGATGAGTAGTACATAGATACAAGGTTGCCCTCTCTCGTTTCATGTCCGAAATGTTCGAATAAGCAAATTTCTAAATTCAAATATATTCATGAGGACATCTATATTAAAAGGACCATTCAATCAGCTCCAAAATGCCTTTTGGAGCGCATCACACATCAAAGTGATACACCTCTTGCCCTCAGACAATGCCCCATCCATAGCCAAAAATGGATGCGGCATACCCTTCATGACCTGCAAATCAACAGGCACACCAGCCTTCTGCAACCTCTCCGCATATTGCTCTCCCTCTGTACGCAGCACATCCAGCTCGCCAACCATAACCAGCGCAGGCGGCAATTGTGAGTAATCACCCTGCCAGAACAGCGGACTCGACTCTGGGTTGGTGCGGTCCGCGTCATTGGGGACATAGTGGTCGCGGTACCAGTACATCTTAAGCGCTGGGAGTGCGGGGGTCCGTTCGTACCGACGATATGACTCGTTGTTCTCTACTGTGGCAGTGTTATCTGTCACAGGGACAGAGAGGAGCTGCGCTCGGAAGTGAACAGGCGGTGATAGAGTCAGCGCCTTGTGGGTCATAATTGCTGCAAGGTTCCCGCCGGCAGAGGAGCCACCGGTTGCGATTTTGGATACGTCCACTGAGAGTGCGGCGGGGCCGTCGGCAATCAGCCAAAGGAGAGCTTCCCAGCAGTCGTGGACTGCTGCTGGCCAGCGGTTTTCGGGTGCAAGACTAGGGGAAAATAAGACAAATTAGGTTGAAACTTCTCAGGGTAATGTACATAGGCATGGCGTTATTAGGTTTCGCTCACTTACCGGTAGTCAACTGTAATCACGACACAGTCGCCTCGTGCACAAAGATTTGAGCACACCACGTTCTCCGTGTCGATGTTACCCAGCACCCAGCCACCACCGTGGAAATACAGCATCACTGGCCATCCACCTGGAGGCGCCTCGCCCTTAGGAGTAAAGCAGCGGATGGGCACTGCTGGGCCCTCAGTAGCTCGCCGCTGAACAGTAATGTCTTGAGTCTTGCCCACCTCCAACATAGGACCTGCACCAGGGATTAAGACACCGCTGGTCCGTGAAGCTTCCACGGGCTGGAGGTGCACCTGTTGGTTATCGATGACATGCTGGTTATAGAATGCAACATACTCTGGGTCCAACAAGTCTTTAACGGACTCGTGGAGCGGATACGGTGGTTGAGTAATGCCAGCAGTCATTTTGAAATTATAGAGAAAAACAAAAGGACCAAGGATCCTAAGCTTTCAGGGTCCCAGGTTCCCATTCAAATAAAAGTTCACCCCCACGCGGAAAGTGGGGAGAACTTTCCAAGCAATGCGGGGAAAGAACCGCTGATATAAGCTGATACCTCTGGAGCCCCACATCTGCCATTTTGGAAGGTGATCGGTAGGACTGCAGCAGTTGGCTCCTCCCGTCGGCTCTGTCATCCCGTCGGGTCCATTATCCCGTCGGCGCGACCTTCGCGAAGCCCCTCATGAGCCACTTCATGTTCCTCGGCAAAGTCATATCGGCCAATATAAGCCGCTTGTTACATTTTAATATCGGCTGATGTGGGATGCAGCAGCTCCGGACGCTGTCCTCCGGTTGATAAAGAGCGCCTCCCCCGCGCAGGGGGGCAACTTCCTGCATCTTTTTCATCACTTTACCTCAATTGACTCACCCCTAGCTCATACTCCATCTATCTTTCGCAGGCCCCCATAATGTCCTCCAAGACCCCCGTCCTTACCGACAAGGCTCCCAAGCCCCTTCCCGGGATCTACTCCCAGGCTATCATCGCCAATGGCGTCGTCTACTGCTCCGGCGCTGTAGGTCTGGACCCTGCCACTGGCCAGTTGGTTGATGGTGATGTCAAGGCCCGCACTGTAAGAGACCAGGAAACACCGATCGACCCTATTCAATCTGCTAATACCTCCACCATCCAACAGCACCAATGCATCAAGAATCTAACCCACATCCTCGAGGAAGCCGGTACCAACATCGACAAGGTCGTCAAGGTCAATGTGTTCTTGTCCAACATGGATGATTTCGCCGATATGAACTCCGTTTACGTGCAGTACTGGGGTGATGTGAAGCCCTGCCGAACGTGAGTGCTTGCCCGCTCTTTGGTTTCTTATCGTTGGGGTCTGTTGGGGCCATTTGCTTCCCTCCATTCTTCTTGTACTATGTAACGTCTGATTGCGCTTACGCATGCATCTGTCTGACTCTGCATATGTGATTTGATTTGTCGCTAACGGATGTACTCTGTAGGTGTGTTGCGGTGAAGACGCTTCCTCGCAATACTGATGTCGAGATTGAGTGCATTGCTGTTCTGTAAATTGCTTCCTTCAAATTATAGACAAAACAACGAATGATGATATGATTCCTACTACAAAACCCACCTTTCGGCAAGAGGAAAGGGGTCTTTAGGGGCCATCACGACAACCAGCCTAATCGACCTCTGGAGAGACCGCTTCACCACCTTAGTTCTCTGCCTTCCCACTCGACTCGTACCCACATGTTTATAGGTAGTATAAGAATAGTTAGTAGCTGTGATTCGAACTCGCAACCTAACAGGGGGTTGGGGGTTGCAATGCCTGAACTGACCTTTCCATTTATGCTCACTTTTTTATCGTTCCTTCCTTAGCAGAACCTCATGGATGCTCTTGCCTTGAGTCCCTTTCTTCCTATTTCAGAACGGGTGGTACCTTCCAAGAGCTATCATATCTAATATCTTGTTATACTAACATTCCTTAGCCCTCGCCTGTGATGGTCTTTGCATAGTAATATAGCAGTATACTTCTCAAATATTAATCACGTTTTGAAGATAAAAGGATAGAAAGCAGTGCTTCGTATTGTTCCGGTAATTCCCCAACGGATATCTCTGTTATATATACATATAACGACCAGATGCCATCTTCTGAGCAAATACAGCCAACCGCCCCAAGCTCTCGATAAGAACAAGGAGAGGTCTTGGAGTAGATATGTATGCTCCTTTTAGTGAACTTGGTATTTGGTATTTGTGTACAAAAGAATGTCGCGCCTTCGGGTTTCAGCCAATCTAAGAGCCAGTGAGGAGAGGGCGAAGGTGTTCTCGCAATTCTGGTTCTGATTTTAGGATTTAGAGTCCAATTCACTTGCGGAGTTGCGGTTCTGGTTCTGGGATGAGTTCCCTCCACTTGCAACATTGTGATTCTGGTTTTGGGGATTGGAGTTCTCCCCACTTGCAATGTTATTTTGGACCCTATTGGGATTGCTGCCTTCCGGGTTAGAAGCTAAGGAGGGGCAAGTTAGTTTCTCAAGCTCCTTACTATAGTATCTGATCACCATGTATAGGAAACCCTTACATTTCGGAGGGTGGAAGTACTCCCACGGTCTTTTGAATAGTATAGAGTTGGCATTTGCAGAAGCTCATAACTGAGTATCTGGAGATGGTTCATTTCTCTATCACATGCAAATATCGTCTGTAATGGGGAATTCCAAGAAATAAGATACATATGTACCTTCTTTGCTTGATTTTCCTTCCAAACACAACAAGTAAAACGCCACCAGAGAGCATACTGCTATAATCACTTCACAGTCAGATCAGAATCGCATTCCACAAGCTGAAACCATTAGAAACACTTCATCCAGGTGTCAATTGCGTCAGAATGCTTGCGAATCCAGGTTCAAGGCTCATTTCTCGTCCTTACTGCACCCCTCGGATCACGTGTGTACAGAACTGGTAGGAACTCCCCGAAGCGACCGATGAACTTGGAAGACATTAACTTGATATTGAAACAAAAAAGGAAGCATTTAGAAGTGTATAAGCTTGATTGCAAGATCCAAAGAACTTGTGCATTGAGATGGTCGGAGTGGTGACCACGTCACGGCATCGAGGGATCTAGGGCATCGCCTCATCCTATCTTCACCAAGGACAACCCTTCGATGCACGGGGAAATAATGACGAATTCTTAGAACATTAACTGCCCTTCAAATCTTCCATTCTCGACTGAAACTGACGTCTATACAGGCAAATCCACAGGGATAAGGCTGACCAACACCCAAACCCTCAATGCGCCCCTGGCACTAGCAAGTGCTTCCAAGGTTAACATTCCAAGTTATCAAGCTAAGATGGGGTACTTTTACCCGTGGACTATCTACAGAGAGGGCCTTCCTCAAGGCGTTGGATTCTTTCGATGCACGCCCCTCGGCTGCTACATTCCACCCCTCCACGCCATATTCGCGTCGACGCGCTCCAGGGCCGAGAACCCTTCGTTAAAGTCCTCATTAGTCCTTCAGCACTCCTCTTGGTATCAACCTTATGTATGCTATTCTCGTGCCCAATTGATGAACTTCGAGTGTGACTACAACTGGGTTCGATTTGGATCCGGCGCATTCAACACGCCTGTCCTTAACCTACAACATACTCGCATTCTTCCCTACCCGTTCCCCGAACCCCAGAGAGTTTGAAGAGGGTCATAAGAGAGTCGTTTGCTTCTTGGTCCTTGTGCTATCGCGATCATGGCATCTGGACTCTCACCGACGCCTCGAAAGGAGGGTACATGGACGAAGCTTGTGATATTTGTTGCGCTATACTTGCTGCTCCTCGAGTCTATCTTGGAATGGGTGCTCGTGCTCTACCTCTACGGTAATGGCCAGGTTGACTCAAAGATGACCCTGAGTGTTGTACTTGCACTTGTCGCAGTACGTTTGACTTGAAGCTTTGGTTGTTATACCGCGTCGCTAACTCTTATCCAGTCTTTTCTCTCAGTGCCGCTTGTCAGCCTCCAAAGCCTGGTCGCTTGGCAATACAACAATATCGGTGGATTCGGAACACAGAAAACTATTCTGCATAATATCTGCACATATGTGCTGCGCTTGGATCTGATGCTTTGGTTAGCTACAAGTGTAGCCGGTCTAGTGGTCGCTGCACAGCAGGTGTACTGTCTCTCGGAAGGGACTGACGCAAGCTTCTGGAGAGTTGGTAAAAGCTGTGCCTTCCACCGAGCATCTGTCATCGTGTCGGTGGTTTCAATGTATGCTGCATTTCTGTTCGTGGATTCTCTACTTGAACTGACAATTACCCTACAGGGTCACTGTGTGCACCATGTACTGTGCAAAGGAGCTTTGCGATCGACCATATGATGTATCGCTTCTTGGTATCTACAAGCACCAGAAAGTTACCAGAGAGGGCAGTATCGTCTCTGGTAATAGCTGGGAGAGCGAGGATACCCTCAAAAACGAGATTCTCTATCTTTGTCGCCAACATGATGGAACCGGAGCCGGGGAGTTCTGGTCCGTGGACCCAATCGCCAACAGAGTCAACTGTCATCCCAGCGTCCGACATCCTGCCCCGGCCCGTCTGCGGCCTCAACTCCGAGTCGACACTGATCCTGGTTCGACATATGGAGAGATTATGTCTGGAACGACAATTTCGCCAGAGGACGCTCCAAACCGTATTTCGCCTGGATCCCAAAGCCTGGCTAGCGAATTCTATCCCATCTCGAGCACGTCTACCGTGATGAGTTCACAGACAGCCAGCGAGTTACGCGCTCTTCTCTCTGATGCGCCTGCTCCCAGAGTCCCGGCCATTCCCCAGGAATACACCAACCATAAAAGAGGAAAGTCATCACTCTCTTCTCTCAGACGTCTCCTACCAAAGTCATTTCCATTGTCGCTTCCGTTATCAGCGGATCCTCAAATCCAGGCGCTCGCAGACCCCAACACCGCATCAGATGTCGAAAAGCAGGTCGTGACACCAAACACCATGCCCAAGGGAATCCCTCAATCCACAACCTACCAGCTCATCGCAAACGGCAACACCCCGAACGCCTCTTCAGCGTCCCTCCCTCAAAGCCCTGCCAACACCCAACCCAAACCCAACCCAGCACGGCAAGAAGGCCACACCAGAACAATGACAATGAACTCCGCCGACGCCCCGGAAGTAGTCCCATCAACCCCTTCCCCTCCACCAATAGTGCGCCGCTCGCAAACAGCCCACGCCATGCCGGCAACCCGCTCAATCCACCACCCACACCACCCAAACTTCATCCCACGCCCACCTCCCCAACCACAACCAAGAGCATACTCCCAGTCCCGGCGACACGCCGCAGGTCCAAAAATGCAACCAGATTCAATGCGAAAGAACATGCAACCGCAACAAAATATCATCCACAACGCCGTCCGCAGCTCCTCCTACCACTTCGACCCAAACCACGTCCCACGTCACTCGCAGAGCCAGTATAACCCCCACCACCCAGGGTGCAGCCAGTACGGACACCAATCATCCCGTCGGGCAAAGCAGCGCCGCTACGGCTCCGTCCGATCCATGCCAGCGCCGATCCCCCGTCGCAATGACATCGAGGTAATCTACCCCAGCACGCGTCGCCCGCGCAGCAATACCCCTGCCGGCGCGAGTGGCCCGCTCAGCTGTATCTTGGAGACGGCATCGGACGCGCGTGCGGTGGATGATCCGAGGCCTGTGTCCGCTGCTTACTCGGAGTTGCCGTCGAATTCTATTGATGAGACGAAGTATCGTGGGGCGAATCGTACGAGTTTGAGCTTTTACTGAGAGGGTGTTTGGATAAAAGGTTGGAAAGAGTAGTAATGGCCGTTTGTCTGCTGGTCAGACACCCTTTTAGTTCTATTTAGTTTATTTCTTGACGTTATATGATTTGTATTCTTGTATCAGTGGATAGTGTGACCGAGCTACCAGGCTGATTTGGTTATGTACTCTTAGTGCTGCTGCAGTTAGCTTTTGAAGTCAGTTTTTGATACCAAATTAAATTTGTTCGATCGAAATACAAGTAGGTAAACAATACATAATTAAAGAGAGAAGGTAGAAAGATCAGTACAGAAATTCATTTCCTAGCACTCGAAAGCAACAAGATGCAAATTTCGCCTCAAGACGAGAACAGAACACACCGCGAAGACATGCAATTTCAGATCCCAAATCCATTCCAGGAAGGACACCAGGCCGCTAATAGACGAATCAAAAGGAAGACAATGCAATCCACAACCCGATATGGTACATCGACCCCAGAGAACCATAAGATTAAACAAAATCAATCCAATTTAAGCCCTAGCCTCCGTAGTCTTAGGCTTCTGCTTCTGAGCATACTTGTAGCGATAAGCCTGCCCACTCTTGGCATCCACATCACGGTCTCTACCACGACGACGGTTCTCCTTGCCATGGCCCTCACTCAAAGGCCCGGGCCCGCGACCCAGCTCCTTCTCCCCCCAGCTCATCATCAAAGCCTTGGCCATGCGATCACGCTCCTTGAGGAGCAGGTCGATGCGTCGTTCCCACTCGCGCTCGCGCTTGTCCACCGACAAAGCGATGCGCTGGTCGACCGCGGCGGCGGTTTCGTCCTTCGCGGCGATGATATCTTCTAGATGTCTGAGTTCTGATTTGAAACTCTTGCGCAGGTGAGTTTCGGAGGTGGTGGATGAAGTGCGGAGAGTTGCAAGTTCCGAGCGTAGGTCGGTTTCGCGTTGCTCGGCGGCTGTGAGGAGGTTGCGGATTTTGCGCATTGACTCGGCGTGCGAGGCGCGCAAAGTTGAGACTGCCGTTGAGTGTGCGGTTTGCAGGCTGCGGAGTTGGCTTTGGTGGTTCGCCTCTAGAGCTGCTGTGTCCGGTCCTCTTGGCTCTGCGTTGAGAGCTCCGCGAGCTGTCGGAGGTGAGGGGGGTGGGCTAGGAGGTTCGGCGATCTTGTCTTCTTGCAAGCGGGCGATGGTCTCGAGGGACTCTGCGTGCCGTTCTTGCGTTTGGATTAAGTCATGCTGGCACTTGTTTAGGGCTGTTGCGAGCTCGCCCACTCGGGCCGAGAGTCGCGAGTTCTCCGTTTCAATGGTTTTGATAAGGGTCTGGGCTTCAGTTGCCTGATCACGCAGACGTGCTGCTTCGGTATCTGCGGCTTTCTGTGCGGCAGATAACTCCTGGAGTTCTTGCTGAAGGCCTGCGATGCTTGGCATGTCTGGCTGTTGCGGTTGCTGCGCAGCTTGGGTGTCCACGAACTTGTCCTTCGATGGCGAGTGGAGTGGGGACGCGGGATTCCCTGGGCCCAAATCTTTAATCAGATCGAGAATCTCGCTGTAGGTGCTATGGCCATTGATAGGCAGATCTGCTGCTGCAGCCTTGAGAGCACTCTCCTGCGCTTCCATATGGGATTGAACACGTGTGAGATTGGCTTCCAGTGTGGTGTTCTTCTCCTTCAGAGGACGATTTCTAATTTCCAGGTCGATAAAGCGTTCCTCGAGGACTTGATAATCATTGTGCGCACGCTCTAATTCCGATTCGAGCTTCTCATTTTCCAGCCCGTAGTCATCGATCTGTGCTTGGAGTTGATCAATCTCCGAGTTTTTCTCCTGTATTTGTGTATCCTTGGCCCGTGTGACTTCCTTAAGCTTGGTGAATGTCTCGTCCAAAGTTTCATCGCGCTTTCTCACCTGCTCCTGGGAAAGATTGAGTTGCTGGCGCAGGTGAGCAATTGTCTCCAATCGCTCCTTGTCTAAAGGGTTCTGTGTATCTCTATCTTGGAGCTGCTGTTGCATCTCACGAATCTGATTCAAAAGAGGACTGAGATTCGTTGTATTCACGCTCGGCTGGCGTAATAGCTGTTCGTGCTCTTCATTTTTCTTTTGAAGCGATTGGACTTGCTCGCGCAGCATTGCCTCGTCGCTACCTTTGGCATTCACCTCATCCAGGATAGCATTCTTCCGCTGCAACTCTGTCTGGAGATGACGGATCTGCTCACCGGCAGAAACAGCCTCGAGCACACGATTGTGATTTTTCTGCAATTGGTCATCGCGTTCCTTCAAGGCTTGTTGCAGTTGTGCAATCTGCTGGTGAAGATCCGCATTCTGCTGCTCCGGTGCATGACTGGAGGCGTCCGACAATTTCCGGACGGAAGGGGACGCGGAATCCGGGGCCTCGTTATCATCGGGGTATTCTTCAATACCTTCCAGGTGAGTCGAATCTTTGGGGAGGGCGCTAGTCCGGTGCAACAGGTGTGAAGGGGTGGACATATCCACCGGCGGTCCGAATTCACTGTATTCGCCGGAGTCGGCTTCTTCTTCGATCGCGGGTTCCTTTGATTTCCGGAAAGATCGTCGTACTGATCCGTAGTCTACTCCAGCTTCATCCTCATCTTCATGGTTCGCTCTATCTTCCGGATCGCCCATCAAGTATTTCTCCATGTTTGCAGTGAAGTCTTCCGGGCCACCAACATCGGATAATTTATCTATGTCTTCATGAAAAGGGGGCAGAGTTTCCTCGTGCCCATCCAAAGCAAAATGGCCGCTTGGGAAGTTGCTGAAATCCAAGGTATAATCGGCAAGACGCGCATCGAGATCTGAGCCTGTTGGGCTTCCAGGAGAGGGCGGTCGAGAGACATGTCGGATTCCATTTTCGGAATGGTATTCGTCGTCAGCAGCCTGGTCACGACCTTGGTTGGTACTTTGCGCTGCGACGCGCTCGGTTGCAGGAGTCTGGGCAGTTGCGGGGGTTTGGGCGGTTGACGGAGATCCCAATGGGCTGGAAGGATGTCGGGGAGGAGAGGATGGCATGAAGAGAGGCGTCACCAGCGTTGACTGCCCGATGGTGTCATGCGAGGTGTGAAACGGCGAGGTATAGCCTGTGTTGGCCATGGTTGCGCACGCGTGCGGATGCGCAGAGATGAGGGCAACACAATCAGGCTACACTGCCAAAGCAGAGGTCAAATGCAATTCTTGAGGTTGCAAGACCTACCAAATGAAGAATATTAATCGAGTAAATAGAGAAATAACAATAACCAAGTTGCGGGGAAGAAAGGAAAGATTGAAGAATCTCGCGACGGGTTGTATTTGGGCGCCTGAGGCAGGAATGTTTATCCACTGCCTTTTCCGGTCTAGCGGCCATTTGTGTCTGATATGCTTCTTACTTCTTACTTCTTACACTTCACTCTTGTTTCACATTATTATTTGCCATTCCATGGAATTGATTCTAACATGAACTGCTTAATCGAAAATCAAGCCATTGTCTTCCATTCTTCAAATCCAGGTGGAACCACCGAGGGCTCATGCGACCGGCCGCGCCGTTCGGCTTCTAACTCAGTTTCACCGTTTCCTGGTGCTTTTCTCCGATTACCAGCACGACCGCCTTTCGCAGCGATAGCATGCTATTTACCCACATTCATACAGTTAACAAGTCATCTATGCTGGTTGGTGTTGGGGCAATCTCACCTGTTTCTCTGGATCCATATTATGGAATCCACCCACGCCTGTGGCTTTCCCACCCTTCTTTCCACCCTTGTGGCCTATCTCTGAAAGCTGTTCCCGTGGACGATTCGCAAAATTCCCAGGATTGGGATGGTGTGGATGTTCGGGCGGTGGTACTGTGGCGACACTACAGCGATGCCACAATCCAACATTCACAGACTGTGCAGATGGAAGCAATCTAAGAAGTGGACGTGACATGATCCGAGTGCTGACTAAAGACATCATGCTATCGAGTGTGGAAGTTGATACCAGAAGTATACGCTGCTCCGCAAGAAGATGTTGCTTCGCCACAAGGCTGGTTTGATGGACATGGCCCGCAACTTATGTAGTCTCCAGAAACGGCTATTTTGCCTCCATCAACTCATCAGAGGCGACGGTGGTTTGTCTCTATGACATTCCCTTCGAGGTCCTAGTCGGCTATATGCATGCCATTCGTGTATTTCTGGAGGAAGTCCACATTGAGATACACTGCATTCTTGGTCGTTCGTTTCAATTTGCTGGAGCACCAATCCGGCATCCAAGTTTGATGTCATCTCCAGGTCTTCCCCAACGAGCCGAATCCAACACCATGGGTGTAGGGATCATCGCCCATGGTTCGAGTATTGAAGCTGTGATCCAGGCCCGACATGGGGATGAGAAGAAGATGCCCTAGTGAGTTGTATCCAATTTAAACTACATATGTACATATGTACTTCACCCTACTTGTTCCCCAGCAATAATCATAGTTTCTTGTAAAGAGCTGGTAACCTTGTCCAAAAATGGATCTACCATTCAGCTTAGTCAGTGGGGATTTGGGTTTGTCGTGTGTAGGTGTCCAGTCCGATCTACTACTTTGTGTTGCAGTGATATTCACCGGCTATTCCATTTTTATTGGGAAAATTGTCATCGGATAACTCTGGAGTTTCTCCTTCTCTGTTGTCATTCCTCTCAGACGCTAGGAGCTCGAAGGCGAACCTGCACAGCTGCCAATCGCCAAAGCTTAAGCGCGTCACCCGGCTCTCACAAAGCGAAGCCCATGGAATAAGCTTGCTATAAATTACGTTTATCTGGGTATTCAAGATCTTCCTGTTTTTAAAATGCCACCTATCCGAGGTGGACTCGGCGAGCGCCCGCGGGTGATCCTGTACCACCAAACACTCATCCCAGGTGGGGGCCAGTATGTCTCCATGCTCCCGCTCCTGGAAAATAACACCGGGATAACACATATTATTCTCGCGGCTTTTCACCTGAACGGCGCACCAGGAGATATCACTCTCAACGATGACCCGCCAGACAACGCCAAGTTCGACCCCCTATGGGCCGAAGTGCCCGTCA